TCCCCCCTCCCCAAGGGGGGCTTCTCTTTGATGGGCTGAGCCGCCAAGGTAGGAGGCAGGCTGCTGCAGAGGGGCCGGGGTCCTCTGGCCAGCCTGGAGGGAGGGGGCCGGGGTCTCACCTTGAAGTTCTCGGGGTCCACGTGCAGCTTGTCGCAGTGCAGCTCGCTCAGCTTGGCAAAGGTCATCTTGACACTCTCCGGGTTCTTGACAGCGTCTCCGAAGGCGGTGAAGACCTTTTTGCCGTGGGCTTTGACCTGAGCGTTGCTCATGATGGCCGCAGCATTGCTTAAGTTCCCAAAGCTGGTGAAGAATCGCTGAGTCCAAGGGTATACTACCAGCATCCTGTCGGGTGGGGAAAGGGCGGTCAGTGTCCGGGCAATCAGCCTCCCGCCCCCTCCTCCCGCCCGAATCCTGGGCTTACCTGCCAAGGCACTCACCACCAACATTCCCCACGTCGACCTTGCCCCAGATGGCACTGATGGTGCTCTTCTCCTCGGAGGTCCAGTTGACCATGGTGGGTGGCTGGGATGCGCTTGCTCTTGGGGCTGAAGGAAGGGAAGCACCCAAAACTGCCCGGAGCGGCTCTGGGGTGGCCTTTTATACCCTGCAGGCCAGGAAAGGGGGGAGCCCTGATGGGGTGGATCTGGGCCAGCCAGGGAGGTGGGGGCCTGCTGGGGTGTGGCTCTGCGGGCCAGCAGGAGAGCAAGATAGCTGCCAGTGGCCCTCTTTTTATCAGCGCCGCCACCGCCAGCGAAGGCCAGCCCTGCAACCACCACGCTCTGGGGCTGGCCCGGCTCAGCACTCAGGGCTTCCGTGGGACAAGCTGAGCTCGGCTGGGTCGGCCACCGCGGAGGCGCTGGGCGCTCGGGGGCAGTCACAGCCGGCCAGCTGTCGGGCTGCCTCCGCCCTGGCCGCTTGGTCTGGGGTTCAGGCGTGCTGGGAGCCCTGGAGGAGGCCAGAGCGCCTCCCTGGTTTCCAGAAAGCTCCCCTTCATCAGGGCAAGATTCCTGTGGCAAGCAGAGTCAGCCATTGCTGTGCCCTTTCCTGGTGGCAGAGAGGATTTTCTCTGGGCTGGGCAAGCCCTCAGCATCTTTCTAAGCACAACAGGAGCAGAAGGGGGCTGTGCAGTGGTTTCAAATGGGTCTTATACTATCTAAATAGAAACACCACTATTAAACACCAAGTCTTTGCATCAACAACCTGAATTAAGGGAGCAGACACTGCTCAAGGTGGTGATGCATATCAGAGGCAGCGTGCTAGTGAGAGGGGGCTCTTGGCCTCCAGGGTCCTCCTGGCCACTTCAGCCTTCAGTTCCACTAGCTTCAGCTGGATTCCAGCTGCCCGGAGTGTCTCTGGCCATCCTCCGCCTGCCCCCCCTGCCCCCGGTTCTTCCGCCTGCAGCACCCAGCCACTCAATGAGTCAGGAAGCACAAGCCCCGGGGCCCCTCT